AATTTCGATCACCAAAATCTAAACACTTTTCAAATGGTATTTACAGAAAAAAAACTTGCTGCCACAAATCCACAATCAATTTAAATTTGAATTTTAGCGATATTTGAAAAATGAGGTTCATTTCAAAAGCGGTGGACCAGTTTTCATAATGATCGGGGGAGAATGGAAAATAAGTGAAGGTCATATTTTGCCAGGTCGACTCATTTATGATATGGTGGGAAAACTTGTCATCAAGTGAAATGTGTGTTTCAATCACCTACGAACACGAGGTCGAAGTATTGAAAAATTCAACTTTACCTTCTGCTGCGCGTCCATGGTATTACCAAACTTGTGCAGAATATGGATGGTATCAGACAACAGACTTTAAGAATCAGCCATTCGTATCAAAATCACCGCTTAAAAATTATTTATCACTTTGCCAGGATGTTTTTGGTGATGCGTAAGTCATTTGAACTTGTATTGAAGACATTTTTTCGAACTGAGTATTATTTTCAGGTTTGGAGTTTCATTAGTCGGGAGTAATGTTAATCACACTAATGTTATGTATGGTGGACTTGATCCGGCCGTAACAAATGTATACTTTACGTATGGTTCGCTAGACCCTTGGCATCCAATGGACATTTTAAAAGACTTAAACAAAAATTCGCCAGGCACCGTCATCCCAGGTTCACTAAATAAGCACATTCCCCGTTTAAACGTATATATTTTTTTAAATTCCAAATTGCATAATTTTTATTTGTAGGCATTTCCCATTGTCAAGACACGGCTTCAATAAAGACTGAAAAAGACTCAGAACAACTCATCGCTTCCAAAGTGAAACTTCAAAGCCTCGTGAAAAAATGGTTGAAAAAATAAATTTTTGTAAAATCATATCATCATAGGCAATGTATATTGTGATTTTTTTAAATTGAAACACTTCATTTTGAATAAAAGAATGTGGAAATATATTTTCTGTTATTCCGTATAAAGATGATGAAATGTTGTTGATGCAATTTTTTTATTTTTATTTTCATGATTGGAATTTGAATTTTTGCAAACGTTTTTTTACCATTCTTGACAACTTGTCGTATTTTACAAACTCTCAACTGTCATACAAAAGTGTTAACAAATTGTTGAGCATAGCCTTATTCCATTTGTACATGTGTTAAACTGAGATGCTAAGTTTATTCTCTATCTTCAGTCTCACAAAATGGGAATTCAATTTACAACATTTGCATTTATTTCCTATTTTGACACTGGTTTCATTCTTGCATTGGTTCATCAGTGACTGGTACACGTAAAATTCGCGGCCCGTAGAGTAGTACATAGGCACAATGCCAATCGCCACCACCGCTCAAACGTAAGATTTCCTCCGATGTGACCGGCGACACAGCGTCATCGTCGTATTTGAACCATTTGTCCTCGGTGGTTGATTGTCTTACCCAACCAACATAATGGCCCGATGAACTTGAACGACCTTGATGTGTCAACACTGCATGCAATGTGTAATAGCCGCTGTTGTTGCTACCAAAATCATCATCGAACGAATATGGCAATGCCACCATTTTATCCTCTTTCTTTACCAAAGGCTTATCCTTAGATTTTGGATTTTGAAGAGCAGCATCTTCAATTTCCTGCATAAATTTATTCAATTCAATCACAATTAATATCCAAAAACACGTCAAATTCATCGAAGCCACAAACCTTAAACTTGGATCGCATCGGTGTCAATTTCTCTTGAAGTGACTTGCTGCACAATTCGAATGCATCAAAGTCAATGGGGAATTTGATGTCTTTCAAAATTTTCGCATTGATACCCTCTTTACCTTTGTATTGGAACCGAACGAAGTTAACCGTGAGGTATGCTGGCAACCGGCTGATTTTTGACTGAAATGGGACACAACCAATAAGTTTATTGTGTTCAATGACGAACTGCATGGTAATTGTTCGAATAACAACTTACCGATTTAATGTAAACAGCATCTCGTTCCAACGTTGACGATCGCTTTGTCAGTTGCTCTTGAAGTTTCTGAAAATAGAAAAAAACGTTCATTGTAACAAATTTCAAGCTTGAGATGTGCAAAATATCACTTCGATTTGTGTCTTACCGATTTAATTCCGCTCAGCATGTACTTGACCTCTTGTGAGATGAAGCAACTTAATTGCAAGAAGCTTTCGTGCGACGTTGTTGGCTTCTCGTCCTCACTTTCCGAACATTTCATCTCCACATCGAAAGTTCCGCCAAAGAATTGATCGATCAATGAGCTAAATTGGGATTTCGATGTTAAAATATGATGCAAATGAAACGCATAAGAGATAGTCCAAGTTCAACTTACTTGTAACTTGGAACCAATTCTCCTTTTTTGATGGGCTTTAGCTTTTGCTGCAGCATCTTCATCAATTCAGACCAACATTCATTCGCATCTTGTTGTTGGTACGAACCTTTTTCACCCGTTTGCGCAAACTGTGGGAATGCCATGTGAAGAGTTTGCAGCAACAACACTGGCGTTACTGTGTTCGCACCGTTCAACTGTTCGAACACGGAACGCATAGCCGCCGTAATCGATTGTGCTGAGCCCAATGAATTAATGGAAAAATCCTCCTTGTACTCTTTCAACGATTCGCCCAGCTCGGGAACGGATTTCAAGCATTGAACCACCGCATTCATATAGCACGTATTACCCAAATTTGTAAGACCAGCCGGCAATTTTAACTGAAAATTATCGAAAATATTAGTTTGGATTCAATTCAAGCGATTTTCCCAAGTACATACCGCAGAAGCTAATTCCGATTCATTCATGTCTTCAATGAATTTCGGTCGTTCAATTGGCTCAGTGTCGATGTCATCTTTTGTACCCAGCAACAATACCACAGCACCCTAGATTTGAACGAATTGATATTAGTATTTGCAAAATAATAGATCAAATCATAATGGAATTTAAATCATTTGCACAAAAATACAAACATCTTTCAGTTGAAAGTTCCATTCGTCGTCTTTCAAAGCGACACCCTTGCACATAACCTTTTGCCGATGCACCTGAACACCGGTCAATGTAAACAATTGAGTTTTAAAAACCAATGGATTCTCATCTACGTTGACGCTTACATCGGGGAAATTCTCACGGCCCCACTTTACTTTCACTAGAAAGACATGGAAAATATTATAATTTTTTTTTTGTTATAATATTGCCGGCGAATGCATTAAAACTAACCTTTATAAGTTGGCATTTTTGTTTAATTAATTATTAAAACGAATTTTGATTTGAATTTCAATGAATGACTTGATATTTTGCAGCTTTACTTTTTATGTGTTTTAAAACTTTTTCTGCTTTATAAAATAAATTAAAACGATATGATGGGGAAATCGTTGTGTTTTGTTCAGAAATCTATTGAAATCTCATGCACTACAACAAAAATACACAGAAATGACATTGCATAAAACGGCCATTGACAGTTCGAGATTCGGAGTTTGACAGATCTTTCGTAGTTATCTGTCAGCCGGCAATTTTTATTTCTTCCGCAAAACTATTGCAAGCATTTTCAGTCTATGTAATGTGCAGAAAATAATTCATCAATTGCGGATGATTCTTCCTAAATCATCTGATTACAGAATGTTGGACACAATAATATTCAGAATCGAGAAATAGAAAAATAGACAATTGTTCAAACGAATCGTTTGAATTGTTCGATTTGAATAATTGACCGTCTCCATCGATGTCGATTTACTCGAGAGAATGACTAACTAGGCAACTTCATGTTGAACATAGCCAAAGCACAGGCAAGTATATAAAAAGGTAGAATAAATGGAAATAAACAACCAAAACATTGCATTGATGAACATCGTTTCCTTCAGTACGAAAATTTTCCAATTGGATTTTCCAAAAAAGGATTTCTCTTTATCAAACTTTGTTTAAGAACTTTTTTGAAAACTTTTCCAATTCTTTTTTGAGCCAATTTCTTAAACTCCGCAAAGAATCTACGAATTTCATCGAAAATGCAATTCATATAGCTAAAAATATCTAAAATGTAATGAAAGATCTCGATCGTTTACTCTATCGCATGTATACTAATCACTCAAATTATTTTCAAGTCACATTTGACTAGATCATTTTGTCTATTTCCGGAAAATGGGCGGAGCATCGCATAATTTTCAAAATATTCCCGTCAAAAATGTTTGAATTGTCCGAAGGAACAACAGCTAATCAACAATAATGATTAGATATGCGAGAAACTAATTTGCAATGAATGAACTTACTATACGTATCTGTGATGATCTATCACAGAGGTGTGAACCAGTATTATTTTACATATCTCAGCGATAGAGATATATTTGATTAATTGCGTTCTCATATCAAGACACAAGATTGAAATCTCGTGTGTGTTTTTTCTGTTTCTTTGCTATCGCACGCAAAGTCAAACCTCTTTGTTAGTACTGCACTTCAAACATCAAGACTTTGGTCGGATTTTGTCAATTATTCTTTCTAATATGCATGAAAAGTGAATTTTTTCGAACGATACTTCTGAATGTGGTTGGTGAATCACTATGAAGATTAGGTTAAATCTATTTCACCGACTTGTATTTAACTCCAGCTCGAAGCTATACATTAGCAAAACGAAACCATATTTGCTTAACCACAACCAACTTGGTTGGATTTATTTGCAACCAATGAAATCATACAAAGCAAAATATTGAAATTCCCTCCGTTTCAAAAAGTACCTCGAATATTCATAAGTGTATTTCCACCTCCTATCAATTAATGAACTGTCTAATTAAATATCCAATTGCTTACTATCAAACAAAAACAAACAACAATTGAAAATCTTTCAACAATTGTATAAAATTAATTTGAAAAAATCTATGAATGCATTCGTGAGTTGTGTATCATTGCTAGAATTTTAATTGTTTTTGAATATTTATTATTGGTGTTCACCTGTTCACGTTCCTTTTTTTTATAGAAAAATCGTATCGTAAACAATTTGATATTCGTGTTTTATTTTCTGTTTAACGATAGTTAAAAATGGTTATGGTAGACGAGTTCTTCATTAATTAATTCATTTGGTTGGTTGTAAATATGGAAGCGATTTTGGTGTAGAGTGTGAATATAATAAAGCAGTTCCACTCATTTTCCGCAACTAATAAAGTGATTATTTGATATTCATCAAGTGTTAGCGTTTGTGAGCTGGGAGATGCAACAGATGAAAAATCAAAAATTCTGTATCGAAAACAGTAGCAATAGCCGCAGCGGCGGCAGCACTATCACCATGGAATGGCATTAATGGAATCAATTATATTGTATTCACCATTTATGAACAAATTTATGGAGAATGGTTGTGTGTGCAATTCTAATTAGTTCGGCTAATTCACCAACCGAGCTGTCTAATTAATGTATTGGAAAGTAGTATTTTTTCTCTGCTGCGGTTCTATTCTATTCTATTCGGTTCTTTGTTGTTTTGTTTTTGTGAGTGATTGTGTGTTCTTTAAAAAAGCGTTTAGCGCAGGTATTCGCACCCTATCCACATGAAAATCAATATCACTTTTAATTGGGCGGCAATTAAAATGGTACGTTACCTTTTAACAACTACAATTTTAAAGTAGCTAATTTAGTGAAATTATAACGTTTCCAGCGATTATCCTTTTGCTGTTCAGACATTGTCAGCAATCGAATGAAAGGTAAATGAAACAGTTTGTTGTTTTTTGTCTCTCGCGGTACAAAGGTCAAAGCACCTTTCTTTGATGTATGAATTGAATTGGGTTTTGCGTTAAATTTTTAATATTTTTTCTTGCCTTAGCCTGGATACATTTTTCAAATGGTTGTCAATTTTTTAACAGCAACCGAACCATTTTGAAGAGATACACTCATAAAATCGAGTATTCGACTGATGAAAAGTTGATGAGCGTAAACATTAGGCAAAAAAAACCGCGTCGTGGCGTCATCATCAAATGACAAATTTTTCTTTTAGTCGGGTGAAAGATTAACCAGCGCTTAATCATGATTATCGGCAGGGGGTTCGTGTATAAACATTGCGCCTATTGCAATAATGTGAATATTTTGATTGCATTACAGTTGCGGCGCGCGGAGAGAGAAAGAGAGTCTGTTAATAATGTTGCTTTTGTTGTTTGTCCCCATGCGACGACACTCATAAATACCCGACCATAGACACACTCCGATCCTGCAGAAAAACCGTATGCAAATCATGCATACACACACAAATTTGCTGGTAATTTCATTTGCATTCGATGCGTTCAAGTAATCAAGGGCCTTGGAGACAGACATCGATGCGAATAAATAGAGCGTCGGTGAAAGTTCAACTTACCGAAAATATATATGGCACATACACCAATGAAAATCCGAATCATTAACGGCGTGAATGAGGGTTTCGGTTCTTCCAAATCACAACCATATGCAATCCGGTCTCACAAATTATCGCAGTCGTTGGATCGAAATTAATTTTATGCGAAATTTGCATTTCGGATTGTTTCTGATTGAAATGTTTCTGAAGAATGGCTGTTTGAAAAAAAGCAGCCCGTAATGGGCCATAATTCGACGTAAATGTTGTCATTATGTTCCAAATAAATTTCAATAAATTTTCAATTTATTTCAGGCGAAAACTTGAGATTGCTGCCATTCTTCCCTTGACTGCGTACATTTTTACCATTCTGTTGCTCATTTTGACTCTGTGTATCACATAAAATGCAAAAAAAACGTCAATTCAATGAAATTCTTATTGACAAAAGAGTCGTAGTTTTTTCCCTTTTTTTCTTCTTCAGTCCGCTTTAAAATGGCTGTTAAAAGAACTGGAGCAGCTAACGATCCATTTCAAATGTTTTGAATTGCGGTTTCCATTTTTCTTCTTCTGAGTTTCTCTATCTCTCTGACTATTCTATGCAACATAATGATTTCATGCAATCAAGCCGCAGTGGGTTGATACGATGCGCGTATTCGAAACGAATAAAACAGTTGACAGAATTTCAAGTTGCTATGAAAACGCGCGGAGAGCGAGCACATCAAGTGAGACGAAGATGGAAATATGCCATATTATAGCCCCGTATAGAGATTGTGTATATTGTCCGCGGCTACTTTTATTGGCTAGAATCGCATGCACACAATTCGGGGATTTAGAGATAGAGCGCGTATTTCATTTGGTGAACACGATACTACAAAAGAAAAGAGAACAAAAACGGTCACAAACGATGTTCCAAATGCTTTGGTTTGTTATTTTGTTTGTGTCTCTCTGTGTGTTTGTGTGGGTTTGTGTCATTTTGATTCGCTTTCATGAAAAAAAAGAAGAATTGTGTTCATTTACATGATAATCGAAATGAACGAAATTATTCCTTGCATCGCAATCTCTATACACCAAAATCATTATATATGACATGATGATGATAACATATCATGCATTGTAGAACATTAGAACGAAAAAAGGCAAAATACAGTGGAATTAAACTTATTATTAAATTGAAAATTATAGCTGTAGCTGCTTTGTACTTAACTTTATTGTTATTATATTGTGTGTGTTTTTTTTATGACTGCCACGGCTCTGTGGCTTTTATATTATTTGTCCGTTTCGGTGCATTAGTGGTTATGTTACGTAAAATGGTTGTTTATTAATAATTCGTTTATTATTATAATTAAGAAATTGAAAGAAAGAAAACTCATAGTTTGAGGCAAATTATTCACAAAAGAGTCTCCGTTTCGGAAGATTTTCGTTGAACTAAAAACAGTAAATAATAAAATAATGAGACACCAACGACGTTTAAGCTTAACGTATTTGATGCATGTTTTCTGTGTGCTGCGTGACTCAGTAGCGAAATGAAATGTTATGAATGGAATGAAAAAAAAATCGGAAATTTGCATAGATCATTCGGTTTTCGACCGAGAGAGAAGGAAAAAACCAACTAACGACTTGAAATTTTCCTTTTTAGTAAGCCCTCAAAAGTGGGGTTAATTGAAAAGTTGTTCTAACGAATGAATTTTCTTCAATTTTTCTCCTAAATAATGACAATGTGACTATTCCAATTTTGGGCTATTTCAGACTTTTAACTATCCGGAACCAAATTGTTTTTTATATATAAAAATGTTTGTCTAGCATAGCTTATAATTAAAGTATGTAGTACTCGTTAAACGCTTCTTTATTCTACGAACGATTTGATAATTTCGAGGAAAACAACGACGAAAACAACGACACTCAACTCATCGGAACGTAAATATGCATTTTTACCATTTTTTTTCTTTCCGAAATTGTTCATTGTTCAAAAGAATCGACAATTGTTTTCTCCTCATCACAAGCAAAGAATCTTAAATAGTTAAATTGAATACACGAATGAAACACATACTCACACCGAAAACTTTCAGCCGCTGAATGGGAGAAATATTTCATGGGCGCAGAACATTTAATTAAGTCATTTTCTGAATCGATACAAAATGATATAGTAAACAAGTTAAAACAAATCCAACAATTGAATTTATCAGGCATTGGCTAGTTTGTGCTGGCGCTGGTGTAGCCAATTCATTATAAATTATGGATGAAAATTGAAAATACTTGGATATTTTCACCTTTGACATAATAAACGTAAGTCACGTACGAATCCCAGTATTTATCAACAATATACATACATAAACAACGGCCGATGAAGAGTTAAATGCTAAATTATAAATTCGAACAAAGGAGACGGAGACAGGAGACGGGAGACACCGTGCATTCCCTTTATTGTTACCTCTTTAATAATAACATTTTCAACGATTGCACGATTTTTCTCGTCGAAAATTACAGAAGCAATATCGAATCGAATGAGCAGCGAACAACGAAGTCAAAGTCGACGTTTTTGGATTGATTGAAATGTGAGTGAAGGTAAAACTTTGAAAACTTTTCAACGCTCGAAAACTTTGCCACCAAAGATTTTTGTTCGAAATATAACATTCAAAATAATCATTCGAAAGACATTCAATATAATCTCCAAGAGCACATACACACATCTCCGAAAATTCGTACACATTCGTTGAAACTTGTTCCAATGCGAGTTTTCCTGTGTGAGAAGACGGCGAATGGTTTTGCGCAAGTTCGGTTCCACCTACAATAGCGCAACGGAACAAGATAATAATCTACATCCATAAAGTTATATACAGTGTCATGTGATTTTTGTCATCGAAATTCTTTTTTTTTTTGCTCTCTCTGCCCCTATTTGATACCTTAAACCACCCGTCAGTCAGTCGTTCTGACAGTCAAATCAAATTACATGAAATCTATTTTGTATCGATACCTAATGGGGACCCGAAAAGAAAACGTATCGGATTTCATGATAAACGCAATGAAAAGAGAAGGTGTGTCGGCATTTAAAAGTTAAGGAAGTAAACTTGATAAGAAAATATAAAACGATCAAGGAAAAAAATAACACAAATAAATTTCCTATAAAAAATTAAGCGATTTCATTCATCGTTTTCCTTTTTATTGAAAATTTACCTGGTGCCGTTCACCCGTTTCCATTCATAACATTCATATCAATCCCGGCTGATCCAAAGATAACATCCATTCAATAGGTGTTTTCACCCTTTGCAGCCTAATTTCGATGTGAAAAAAAGTCTCGATTGCAATTGCTTTATTTTTCAAAGGATGCGCGAGGCTAATCGAGGCTAGATTGAAATTAGATACTTTTAATTATACAATTAATGAATAATGGGAATATTTTGCGTTCATTGACTGTGTCGGTAGTTAGTATTTTTTGCTAAAAATCTCCCAATTTCAGGATGAATTCAACTGACAGCTATCAATTCATCATTATGTTTATCAATTGTTTGTCAAATATTCTATTGACTACTGTGTGCTCAACCAATCACATATATAATTATTCGAGTCGGCATTGCTCTGCAGAAAGTGCCCATCAATTCACATGATTTGTTTTTCTCTTTTTTTTTCATTGATTCCCTCTTGTTGTTGTGTGTGTGTGTGTGTGTGTGTGTGAGTGAGTATATAATTTATGTATTCGAAATGCATAACTATGCGAAAGGATAACCAATTTATAGAATTCATCAATGCAACGTCAAATGTCGAGTAAATAAAGGGTTCAACAAAACAAAACAACTAGTGCGCTCATTGTTCATTGGAAAAGTATAAGCAAATGGGAAATTGATTCGTTTGTTTGTTTGTTTCGAATGAAATAAGTCGTTGAAATACCTGCTGTTTCAATCGAACAACAACTGCGTTCAATTTTTTCTCTTTTTTTTCGACTTGTGTCTATCCTCCATTTGCGGTTTTTAACTCTCCATTCCAAATACTAATCAAATAAATTCATGATACCCTTTATGGTTTTCCAATAAAAAAAAAACGCTTGGTTTTTTTTGTCTGCTTCGCGCACTAACCGTGGAAAATTTACCTCAAAAATTGTTATCATAAAGACAGAGGAAAAAAGTATGTTACGATTTAAACACATTTTCCAATTGTTTGTGTATAAAGTTATCGTAGAATCTGAGCCGTATTCGAAATTAAAGCAAGGACGCTTTGTATTTCCTTTTATGCTTGCGCGGCATTCGATACAATTTTTCGTCATCAAACATTGCACAATTGTTCGGTATTTGTTACGAGTTTTTTATATTAACACATCCATTTCCTCGATCCGATTCAGTTGTTTCCGGTGTTTTGTTTATTGAAATGTATTACTGGAGCGACGGTGTTAGAAAAAAATGCCGAAAATGAGAGTATTTGTCGCAATTGAACGTGTCATTCAATCACAGAACTTAGTCTATCGACAATGTATCGAATTGCACCAATTCCTCCTTTTGATGTGTGTTGAAACACATATTGGAATGAATTCCTCTTTGCTTTTGCCACCGCAAAATGGTTATGCATCGTTTCGATGCGATGAGTAAGTAAAAACCGGGAGAATGGTTTGCGGAGTGATAAAAAGAAGAAGAAGAAACAGAAGAGACAATCATAAATAATATCATTTGTGGTTATAATGGTCCTTCGATAGTGTTTATGACCCACTAACCTATCGCTTTTTTTCTCGTCTCCTCTCTAGCCGATTGAATATTACGCACAAACACAACACATAATTTCATTACAAAAGCAAACAATTGCAAACAAAAGCAATGCGACTGACTTAGTGAGAGAGAGAAAGAGTGTGTAGAACAGAATTTTTTTGGCGAATTGTGTTTGCAACAAGACGAATCGATCGCAACTATTTTCATGGAGTCATCAATTATTGTCCTCTGTTCAGGGTGACGTGAAGAAGCCGATCAAGATGACAATAACAACAACAGCGAGAAGAGAGAAAAAAAATAGTCGAAAAATCGAAGAACAAAAACCAAATTACGTATCAATGGTAAAACGTACAGCGTGCAACTATTTTCAGTGTTTCTCTCGGCTCGAGGACAAACAATGGAATAACAGCCGGAAAATTGTCACTGAGTCACATAAATACATTGGCTGCATAATATACAAAAAACAACAAAAATACACACAAAAGCCATTTGAAGAGAGGCAACAATGATGGAAAATGGAGAGCAAGCGATCGAGGAGAGAGAGAGAGAGAGAGAGAACAAACGGAACAACAAGAGAGTGACACTCACAAAAAAACCATAGTTAAAAACCATATGTAGCCATGAGTGAAAAGCAAACGTATTTATTTCCCTCACTTGAATTTTCATGGTTCTGCCGCTGCTGTTGCTGCTGCTGTTGGTGGCTGTGTGTATGTGTGCATTATTTGAGTAAGGCATCGACGACAAACTAGTTCCAAATGACACCAAATGGAATGAAAATAAACTCAGTGTGATACATGCACACAATCAATTTATTATCCTTTGCCGTGTGTTCGTGCGCGCTCTGCGCATACTGCCACCAATGATTCAACGACAATTGTTTCGATTTCGGGCAATGCAATGGCAAACGTACGCAGTAGTCGTCAACATTAGCACAAACTGAGTGAGAGAGAGAGGGCGAGTGAGTGAAGAAGACAGAGCAAATCGTAACTGTATGTGAACGATTCCCATTCAATCATTCATTTTGGTAGGCAGGGATAGAAGACAAAAAAGAAGTGAGTCTATTGTTACAATATGTATTTAACACTATCAATTTGTCACTGCGTTGCACAATGATGACGATAATTTACGATGCTGTGAGTGCCGGAGAACAATGAGCCCATTGACCACAAATGCGGATTTCGGAGTCATTCAGTTGTTCGAGTTATTGGTTGTGAATATGCCTATATATGTGAAACAGTGCCGCTGAATCCTGTTGCCCGTTGAGGCAATTTACAACAATCGGCGCCGTTGCATAATAAATGGCAACCCAACAAGCCAGAAGGATAATGACAGGCTTCGCATCAGGACACAACACAGCGCATGCTGTGCACTTTCAATGCATCTATCAAAATGTGTATACGATCAGCATTGCTCATGCTCGTGTGCCGTTTGTTGCTATTTTTTTTTTCGGTTACACATCAACTCGATTTCGAGTGGCGGCCGAAACGGTGACAAAGTATTTAACATCAAAATCATTTTTTATCATAGCGAATAGTTTACACAGTGATATTCAGAAGCATGCAGTGCATAATTTTTGAAACATCCCAACAAATTCACGAATCGAAGAGAAAGAACTCTGCCACCAATTAGATTTTCGATAAAATCATCCTTCGTATTGTCTTTGGTATAGGTTTTTTTTCGGGTCGATGTTGATAGCTCCAATGAACACGTATTGAAAATTCAATTTCACATAATGAATAACAATCAAGCCAATTTGGGCGCGTCAAACGTTGCAACCAACGTTCGGATAAGTCGACCGGCGGCAATGTGATTTCATTATCACTGAACTTGCCTACGGCAATCGCCTTTCGTTTCGTTCGCATCAAGAAACACACATTTTCGTTATTGTTGCCGCTGTTGTCAGCAATTGTTCCATTTTTCTGACGAATTTTGCACCAATAAAAAACGATTCAATCATATAATTTCATTTTTTTTTCTTCTACTGTTGTGTTACTGTTGCAGCTGCCTACTGACGCATGACGTATCCTTACGTATCAATCCCTGCATATGCTGAAAACAGTTGACGATTGTATTTTTATACATCACCTTTTTGCCGTTTTTAATGTACGCCGTGCGTTCTGCAAAGAAAATTTGTTTGTGTGCCGATGCGAGTCGAGTCGAGTCAAGACAAAAAGCGTTCAGAATTTAAAAAAAAGGCGTTTGATTCAATTTCAGCACAACGTTTACAACTAAAATATTTCTTTATTTGTGTTTTTTTTTCATCCGATCCGCAATAACAATCATTTAGGTTTTGGATTTGATTTTTGCATAAATTTACTAGAATACTTTATAAATGTCATAGTTATAAATGTTTTTTTTTTCTTAAATGTTCTGCAGCTTTTAATGCTCAATACTTGTTTTGTTTTTGTCGTGATGCTTTATTTTGTTTTTGCCGAAAAAGTGAGGTTAAAATTGAAGAAATTTTGTATTTTTGTGTTAAATTTTAGAGAGTTTTTGTTTGTAAAATAAATCTAATTAAACACCCACTTAGTGCCTGCTGGTTGTTTTCTGGTTCGCCAATCGTTTGTTTTTCCTGGTCTTTCACAATCAAATTACTTTTCAAATACACCGAATCAAATTGAGTTTCACTTCGAAAGGCCGATCTGCTTTTTTTCATTCTATTCTGTTCTGTTTATCCAATTGACATAGAATTTAAATAGGTTTAGTATGATGAATAGGTTATTTTTGGTATTTTTTGTTTCAGCGTAAATTTTTTTTTCTCTTTATTTTCAATGAAGCTACAAAGCCGAATATTATTATCATACAAAGCCTGTTCTATAGAGCAATAGAGAGGAAAATCATGTTGAATTTTTTTTCTCGCAATAATTACATACTCCAAATTGGTATTTATTTTTACTTCCTTGTTGACAAAAAAAAGAACGAACAAATGAAATGCTTGATCTAAACAATTTTTTAATCACTTACTACCACTTAAATGACATAGCGTCATTTTTGTCAAGTCATGCACATTGTTTTAAACTTCTAGCAAATTTTGATTATGAAATGATATTTTGTTTATTCTTTTGCCAAAATCGTGCTATTCACTCGATACGTTGGGATCTGTCATCCAGAAAAAAAAACTGATCTGTCATCCAGTCAATAGGAACAAATCACGTTGAATTTCAAATAAATCACGTTGAAATGTCTTAAGCAGCAGGGAAAAATAGGAGAGAGAGAAAAAAACGACGTTTAACTTTTTAGATAAATAAATCGACTTGTCAAATAATATTGAGACATAGAGAAAGATTCCAGTTCTCGTTTGTACTTTTTAGAGATATTTTCCATTTTTCTGTCAATCCTTCGACAAGAAAAATGGCTATGGTATAGATCGAAATGATGAATAAACGGTTGAAGTGACCTTCACACAACATCTATACGATTGTTAATTTTTTTTTGTCATTAGAACTTTTGTTATTTTGTGTGAATTATTTTGTTATTCAAGCGAATAAATTTTGGTACTTGTATCCAATTTACAACACCATGAACGATTTTGTTTTTACTCGTTTCTCTTCTAATATGAACTGTGTGTGTGTGTGTGTGTGTGTTATAATAATCATTTGCGATGCATTCCATCACTAGATAAGTTGTAATTTTTTTTGTTTTTCTTTTCATATATAATAATAATTTCAGATTAAATTGTATGAAGTACCTAAATAATAAATTTTAAATGTAAATATTAACATACACTAGTTAGAGACTTCTTATTTTTTCATCTTTTGTTTTAGTTTAATATTTCTTCATTCGTTTCTTCACTCTTGTTTTCTTCATTTCCATGTGTGTGTTTTTTTTCTGTAATAATAGCTAAATCGTACAGTTTACGGTAGGTTCCATGCAAGCGCATTCTATGTGCAGATTAAAGAAAAAAAAACATTATCTTTAAGGGAAAACTAGTCTTCGTTTTTCTTTCCATTCATTTTTTTGTAAACAAAGTGTGTAAGTTGTGTTTTTTTTTCTTCCTCCATTTCTCAAACGAAACAACAATGTGTTCGTTTAATTGCATCAGCTAAGCAAATAGAGAAGATCGTTAGCATTATCAAAATCTCAGACGAGACCCGGTTTGATATCAAGCTGATCGGAATTGTCTAGTGGATTCGATGTATGATGCATTTGATGATGCATTGTCAAATGCTGTTGGTGCTGTTGCTGTTGCTGTTGCATATGCTGTGGGTGTGATTGATTTTGTTGGGCTTGTTGATGATCTAAATGAGCCTGTTGTTGGCCATGTGCACTGTTATCGTTGTGATTCACCTCTTCGGAATCGCTGCACGATTCCGATGAGCCTTTCTTCGATGTGCCATTTGCGCTGTGGGTTTTCACATGTTTCGCCAAATGATCACTACGCATAAAGCGTTTGTTACACACGGGACAGGCGAATCGCTTTTCACCGGTGTGTGTTCGCAAATGCCGTTGCAGCTCATCGGAACGGGTGAATCGTTTGCCACAAAATAACCAATTGCAAACGAATGGCCGTTCACCGGTGTGCCATCTTAAATGCGCTTTTAAATGGCTCGTCTTACCGTACACCTTACCTATGGAGGGAGACAAAAATAGAGAGTGTGTTATGGATCAAATCTGTGTTATCTGCGGCACGGTGTATTCACTGTTCATTTGTTTTATTTATGTTATGAACGATTGCTTCGCATTGCGTTCCATATGAGGCTTAAATCATAATTTTTGTAGCTATTTTGGATAAAATGCCTAATAAATGTCATAAGAATAGTCAATATTGAATTTTTCCAACTCCAAAATGCTGTATGAAACCGATTTTGTCTACTATTTTTTACTTATTTATCAAGAGTCAAGAGTCGTTATATGGAAAATTCATGATTTCTTCTAAAAACCAATGTGAAAAATTGAGAGAGAAAAATGTGCATTAACTCACCACATCCAGGTATATGACACGAATGAATGTTTCGCTTGCGTAAATGCAATCCGGCGGGTCCAAGACGTTCAGCCTCTTGACAATTTGGACAGTCGCATGTGGCGCGTCCGGAATATCGGCGCTGAGATCGTGGCGATGGGGCTTGCGGCGTTGGTGGTGCTGTGTTTGCCGTGTGTGGCAATGTGAAGCCACCGACTGATTGTGATGGTAAAATTTTGTAGGTATCTTGAAGTAAATGCTGACCAGAGCTAAGCAAATGCGCTGTATTGGACAACGAATGTGGGAACGATGAATATTCGGTGCCAGTTGCATAGTTTGCCATTGTTGCATGCATACCAGCCGCTGCTGCATTGTTCATGTCTAACCAACTACCGGCCGTACTGTGCATATCCCACCAGCCCGAATTTACCGATTCCGTTTTGTGTGTGGCCGATACGGCGGCCGCATTGAATGGCCAATCGTAGGCAGGATGCCGTGAATAAACTGAACCAATTGATGAATTATCCACCTTTCCCAACAGCCCTTGATGCATGTGCGGCTCTGCAATGGTTGCCGTTGGTGTGCCGGTAAAATACATGTCATTTCCATACTGTGCATTGGTCATCGAACAAGACGATACAACCGGACGACTATTCGATTCACGCACGAGAAAAAAAAATAGAATAGAACGAGAGAGAGAGAGAGAGAAAAAAAATTCAAATGTTAATTACAGTTTCGCCTCTGCACTCCGATCTTTAGTCTTTAGATTGTTTTCATTAAAGATATTCTTAATTCCAATCAAAAGATTTGATCTGCGAGATCGTTTTCTGTTAAAGTTTAGGTTGCCTTTGCTGTTGTTGTTATTTCTTCTATGCATTTATTCTTACCTGGGTGTAATATTTCCCATTGTTCCGGTCGTGGATAGGTTTCGTTGTGAATCGATTGAATTAACATTGTTTAACGTTGGCGAATGTTGTCCCATTGTTGGAGAGGCTGGACTCTTTTTCCAAGGATGGAATCCTTTGCCAATCGCTGCATCAGCCAATGGGGGTGGTGATTTGTTCGATAATTTATTGCATTGAGCAGCCAGCATTGCCAACGGTGTACCGCGTATGTTTGAATGATCCTGGAATTCAAATGAAGAAAAAAACGACCAATTATTAACATTAAACTTTCATTTGTTTCATCGCATATTTACTTGAGTCTAGCAACAATAATGAAAAATGCGAACGTAATGATTTCATTGGCAACTCTATTCGTTGCGCGTTTTTTTTTTCTTATATTTTTTTTTCACCAGAAAATCACAATTGAACCACACCAATCGGTGTGTCTATGATACGGAATATGAAATGAAAACAAAAAATTGTAAATTAAAAACAATTTATCCCACGGCTCTCACATTTGTTTTTCTTATTCAGTTTATTTGTTTCGTTTGTTTTTTTTTCGTTGGCGAGAACGCACAAAATGCGAAATGAAATGAAACTGTATACACAAGAGAGTATTTTCATTTGGTTGTTTTTTCTCGCTTCTTCTTTTCTCTGCAATGCGAGAATTCATTTTGTTTAATTTGTTTACGTGTTTATTCGGAGTGTGTGCGAGCCAAATGCCAACTCAGCTTTCTCATTCGCCAGTTTCACGAATACCTCTTTAGCTCTCGATCATAATAGACACAACTCTGACTTAAAATGTTTTGGCATGTTTGTTTCTTCTGTGAATGAAAAAGCCAAGCTAATGTACTTCTTCGCTTGTATCACTTGCTACACATTCATATCTATTTCTTTTCATTCTATTCGAATCATATCTTTGTAATTAAAAGCGAAGGGCAAAAAAACCAACTAAATAAAAATTACGAAACAGAAAATGAGGTATAACGCCAACAGAGCAGAGCGAGCAAATAAAAACTCAAATAATTGAATCGAATGATATTCGAAACGAAATATTTTTACATAAAACAACAATTTTCATGTTTTGTGCGTTCATTACATTTTCTATATACACACACACGCACACACACACACACACACAGTCGGGGAAAAACAACAAAAAGAAATGGGAAAAACGCGTGTGTCGATATGATGATGATGAAAATGAAATACAATTCGAACAGAAAAACCGTAGCAAAAAAGAAGAGAAAAAGCGGTTTTTTCGCTTGGTAGCAGGACAGAAAGGCGACGACTCTTCTGTTCTCTATATAGTTAATTTTTAATGAGTGACGAGTTTAGTTTGGAGCAAATTATCCGTTAGAATGCAACAATTCTTTTGATTCGGTGCACTTGGGCTCCATCTCTCTCTCTCTCTCTCGCTCTCTGTCTTTGCTGTGCAGCGATGATGGTCAATGCGCTTGCAGAATGTTCACAAAGCGCAGATTGATTTTATTGAAGGTAAATTATTAATTGAGGCAGCGTCATTTTTTGTGAACTGCACTGTAGTTAGCAGCAAGTAGTGAAAATAACGACAATGTGTCGTCATCATTGTCGTTGCGAAAATATTTAATAAACGCACATTTGCATAAATTATAAAACAATCAAGAAAAATTATGTTGCTTTTGAACTTTAAGAAATCAATATTATCCACATTCGGAATGTTGGCAAAAAGCCAGTTGCTTGCTTTTGACCGATCACAAAGTGACGCTTCCACCATTATGTTTTTGTTCATTTCTGCTTCTCTTTTCAGCTCTTGGAGCAAGTTTTCGGAAGAAATGCTATAAAATGCCCTTAACTAATTTCATTGAGAATCCAAAAGAAGAACAAAAAGCAACGACATTGTTTTGCCAATTTGCAACGACTTGCTGAGAGCCAATGACAAACCTCAACGACCAAATGAGAGCAACACGAGGATAAAAAGTGCTGGTTTTGTGAGTGTGTGTGTGTGTTGCTCATGAAATAATCATAATCATAATGTCGATCGAAAAGCATTTGGCTTTTTGATCAATTTAACCGACGACGCTGCTACGTTCACATTGTACACCGATTTGAGCGGCACTGCTGTTCAGTGACTTGATTCTCTCCACCGCTATGCCAAATGCAAACGCCTAAATGTCGAAGCCATTTTGCTTCTCGTTCGACATCGTCTTTGGCGAATGAAAATAATGTGGCAAACCAAAAATGGCATTTCAAGCCTGTTGTTGTTACTGCTGCAGCTCGCGTTAATATCGAAATGCTCGGGACCTGCATATTTATTACAATTATGACAATTTGCATCGCGAATCGAATTATGTATTATTTGCGTACGGCATTAACAAGTAAGCTGTTTCAAGTTAAGGTGCTCGCTTTTATTTTTCGCCCATAATAATCGTTTCTCTCTCTCTCTTTCTCTCTCCCTCGCTCATTTCCACATCGAACAAATTTCACGTTTCGCACATATTGCTCTTTCGTGCTTTTTCGCCTCCAGTTCGAGTGTTTGTTGGGTATGTATGTGCACGAGCGCGTATGTGTTGAGTCAAAGTCGAGATGCAATTGGAATTGTGCATGTCGATTTCAATTGATTCTCGCGTTTCATTACAGAATAACAACTGAAATGTATATATATATATGCTTTTTGACCTACAATTTTGACTTTAGTTAACAATTCATCAATAATAATGCCCATTCGCTTTTTTGTTGTGTTGTCGATTTTGTGAACATGAGCTGTGTGTGCGCGCGCCGCAGCTGCTTAGAACGGAAAAGACAACAATAAAAATTGAATGTATTTTTTGTTCTACTCTCGTTCATCCGTTTCCAAGTCCGAGTATACATATACGGCAAGAGGTTAATCAATTTGTACGTAGCCCCTGACCACTTCTACTTCAACGGTCTATTATAAAACATGATTTATTGGATTAAACGGGAACATTTGGATTTAAAGAAAAAACACACGATTATAAAATTATCGTTTCTAGAATTAGTAATTTTGAGCGAAAAAACAATCGAGAGAAAAGCTGCCGAATATAAACGATAAAATCGAACATTTTAAATACAGACGAACCTTTTTTCGATCCTTTAATCTAATATATTCGCTTTGTTTCCGGTTTGAATAAATAATAACTGAATCGATTTTGCTTTTTCCATCGAAAAATTGATCAATAAATTTTATTCAGTGTCAAGAAATCTGTAATTAAATGCCGACGGTGAACGGGTAACCAACCAAAATGCCTTTTTCCCCAAACATGCACGATGTTAATCTTGGATTCCGTTTGGGAAATGAATGTTGAACAAAGCAAATTGACAAAATATGCTCATTTTTCATGAAACTGGAGTAAAAAATGGGCTCATTCATGTTTTGCTCCTCGTAATCGGCCTTTTCGATGTTGAACATTTGTTAACTCTTTGGGTATTGAGCATTTTGTTGTTCGAACGAAAAAAAAAATTCGGTCCAAAAACACAACATTCATTGTGTTGATTTTTCGCGTGAAAAAAAAGAGGAGCAAAGTGAAGAGAGCTGTAATAAGCCGAAAAAAACATGGATTTGTTGGTACACATCTCTTGAAACCTACTTCAAAACGGAATAAATTAATAATCCAAAATGACATAAGCACCTACTTCACACTGACAATTTTTTTTCCTCTCTCTTTCTCTCTCTCTCTCTCTCTCTTCGTTCCTTTGCCACAACAAATGACAAACAACAAAAAGAACAACACAATGAATCGAACGAATTTGGCACACTCAAATCCATTGTGCATTTCAATGGACATTCGACATTCCTCCTCGCTGTGTGTGTGTGTGTGTGTGCTCCGCATTTTTTGTTTATGTTTCGTTGCACGTAAGCGTTGCAAATCGATTTAATGCAAAGGAATGGAAAATGGAATGAAATGAAAAATTGAGCAAACCATATACTTTTGAGTTGAATATTCATTGAATTTAAGCGCCCAGCTTTTCGAATGTTTTGTTTTGTTTGGCCTAAAATCAAACAAAATTCAATAGACGTTGCGAAAAATGGTGAGGAGCAAATTCTAGGACAACGACGACAACAAGAAATGTGAACAACGGAGATTTTGTCCAGGCGAAAGGAAAAAAAGAACTAATAGCACTAATCCCGATGACGTAGAGAGAGAGAGAGAGAGAGGAAAAGAGGAAGAAAAGCCTCACACTGTGCTAAATCATGCTCGAAATCACCTTATCCATTATTACACTCGATAAGCTGACATTATCCCGAATTAGTCGATGATTAGTCTTGTGAATATCGGCAAATACTATTAACTTTCCGAAGAATAATCTCTGGCTCTGGCTCTTTCTATTCCGTTTGTTATGAAATGCTCTCAATTCCTGTTAACATTATGACTGTTTATAACATTTTTTTCTCTCGTCGATGCTATTTTCGTGTGCGCTGCTTTTCTTCTTCGGAATTGCACTTTTCATTTGGGCCGTTTCAATTCTACAGAAAACACACACACACCTCTCAAGTTTTGTATTGTAATTTTCTCGGCAGGACACTTTTTTAAGTGGAAAACTTGTTTTTTTCTTCAATTCAATAAACGTCACCGAAAAAAATGTGAGCACTTAGAAAAAAAGTCGTAGTTGCTGCCATGAAATATTCAATGAAATGGCATTCGAAGGAGGAGAAATTAATATTTAATTCGATTTAATATTCAAATAATTTATGACGTTCGCAATTTTGAATCCATTTGGAATGGGATCAATAAAATAAAAACGAGAATTTGAAACGGAAATGAGTATTCTAAAATGTTTCTGGGTCTATTAGACGACACATGTCGAAAGCTAGCTAAAGAGATGAATGCTAAATTCAATCATATGTAGTTTTCATTCAAGTGATTTCCATTGATGGGTAAAAAGTGCGTATCGCAACAATCGCACCGCAATAGACATAGACACACTCACCGAATGAGTGTGATTGTATGGTGAATAGAGACTGGCTTAGCTTTATTTACACGTCATGCGTAACCTGTTGTTGGCGTATTACGTGCCAGAATGCGTACTGTGGGCGTGTTTTATGAAAAATAACATTTCATGTAAAATATATACAGTAAGCAGGCGATTGGTAGCAGTCGAGTGGTTCGTATGCTGTTTCGAACAGGCCGGCGCAATGCTATTTCACTTGATGTGTATGTTTTTTTTCTCTTGTACTTTTGTATGTACAGATTGATGTGTTGTACTTGAAATGGTGCTCGTCATCAAATCTAACGACGTTGTA